AAAAAAAAAAAAAGTCTCAGCTGGTGCTGGTGGCTCACTCCTGTAATCCGAGCTATTTAGGAGGCTGAGATATGAGGACTGTGGTCCAAAGTCAGCCTGGTCCTCGAGATTCTTATCTCCAATTAACCACCAAAAAGCCAGAAGTGGAGTTGTGGCTCAAGCAGTAGAGTGTTAGCCACCTTGAGCACAACAGCTCAGCACTCAGGCCCCAGAACCAGCACCAAAGATCATCGTCATCATCATCTCCAATGCTCTTGCACAGTCCTTAGCATAAAATGCAAACTCAGATTGTAACTTTCAAAAACCTAGCCCCTCTCCAGCACATCAATTATAATTTGTAACACACACATGTTCACTAGTCTCCATCCACATGGCCAGCATTTTCCAACCGACTAAGCATGTCTCATGTCAGGACCTTGTACCAATGCTCAGGAAACTCCTCCAACCCTCACACGTTCAGCTCTATTCATTCAGAACTATGAAACAATCAGGACTGTTCTCCAAACTTGACATCTCTGTAGCCACTTTCGCAACACCCACCCTTCTTTGTTTTCTTCCTAAAACATCCCAGGACCTGACATTTTCTTGCCTGCCAACTGTAGCAGAATGCAAGGTCTGAGGGAGGAGAACCTTATTTCCTTTGCTCATTGCTATGTCCCCTATGCCTACATAGAGTGGGTGCTCAATAGATATTGTGTGTGTGTGTGTGTGTGTGTGTGTGTGTCTGTTTGTCTGTGTGGTATGCTGGTCCTGGGGCTTGAACTCAGGGCCTGGGTGCTATCCCAGGCCTTCTTTTGCTCAAACTAGTTCTCTAGCACTTGAGCAACAGCTCCACTTCCAGCTTTCTTGATAGTTTACTGGAGATAAGAGTCTCACAGAAGTTCCTGCTTGTTCCTGCCTGGGCTTGCTTCCAACAGTGATCCTTATCTTGGCCCCCTGAGATTAGAATTACAGGGGTCAGCTACCAGCACCTCAAAGACAGGCTTGTATATTATTTTGTAAGTAGGAACATTTCAGTTCCTGCATCCTGTGACAGCCAATTCATCAAATGACTCCCCACAGCAACTGAAAGCAATTCACTTGTATTGGAAGCAAAACACCTGGACTAATCCAGTGAACTCTGAGGGATTGAATACACTATGGCCTCAGCACCTTAGCTATGTACATGTGCCTTAGAACAAATTAATATGGACTCAAACACAGGTCCTCAAACACTCTAAGGTGCTAGAGAAAACGGTTCTCACTAGAAGTACGATTCAAACAAAACAGCACCACTCAATCCTGCTGACCAACCCTCCCACGCCCCCACAACACTTATGTACCTTCTGTGAAAGGCAGGACTTCTTCAGGAGTCACAAACTTGTGAAATGAATCTTCTTCATTGGGGAACTAATAAAGAAAAAAAATTTTTTTAAAGGAGACCTAGAAATTCCACTTCTAGATAAGTATCCAAGAGAAGTGAAAAATCCACGTCCAAACAGAAAACTTACAATGCTTAAAGCAGCACTATTCATAAAAGCTAAAGTGTGTAATCAACCCAAACGTACATCAATAAACAAATGAAAAAACTGTTGTATATCTATACAATGGAATACAATTCAGACTTATAAAGGAAGTCTCATACACTTTATATCATGAACAAAAACTTGAATGTATCCTAAGTGAAAAAAAAAGTCAGACATAAAATGTCATGTATGATTCCTTTTTTACAAAAATACCCAAAAGTGGCAAATAAAGAGAGACAGAAAGCAGATCACAGTTACTAAGAGATGCAGAGGAGGGGGAATAGGGAATGATTATTTAATGAGCACAGAGTGTTTTTCTGGGATGATAAAATGTTCTGAAGCTAGAGGGATCTGACTAGTGCCATGTAAATGTACTAAATACCACTTGCTTCTCATTTCAGATGATTAACTGTATGTCATGAGAGTTTCACTTTAACTAAAAAAGAGATCTATAAATAGGTTGTTTCCAAATACAAATAGTTTCTATCAATGACAAAATGCTTCTTCCCTTAGCAACCACTTGTATTCAGGGGAGAGAGGACAGACCCGCAACAATGACAAATAAAACAAATGCTAGTTTCAACCTGCTTGACATTTTCAGAAATGGTTAGGATGATAGGAAGTGTGGTAATTTTTTTTTTTTTTGTCGGTCGTAGGGCTTGAACTCTGGGCCTGAACACTGTCCCTCAGCTCTTCAGCTCAAGGCTAGTGCTCTACCACTTGAGCCACAGCACCACTTCCAGGTGGTGGCAATTATACACACAGGGCTGTATTGGCTTTCTAAAGTGGAAAGGCTCTAACTATCATTGGCTCAGGATTTCTATGGCTCTTTCTAGCCTCCACTGTATCTAATCCATTCACTGAAAGAACATAAAATGAAGCCCAGAATGAGGGTTAAAGCATAGCATTCAAGCTTATACTTGAGTTTCTTTCTCTCTGTTGGCTCCCAGCCAGAGATAGACACACAGACATACCTGTGGGGAAAGCTTGAACATGGGCGCACACACAATGAGTGGAGTAGAATGGTGTTTTGCTGCCAGTGCCAGAGTATGTGTTCCTGTCACAGCTCTCAGGGCACCGTTGGCCAGGATGGTCTTCGTGCCAATGATCACCTTCAGGATAGGAAGAAAGAGTCATTCTGAGAGTAGAGCCCTAAAAGAGGCATTCATTGACCTCAATGGGCTGAATGCTCAGTCCACCATCTTGGCATCTTGAGTCACAGACCAGCAGAGGAAAAGGGATCACAGGCTCAGTGCCACAGAAGTGTAGCATTCCCAAAAGAATGAGTCTAAGGGCTGGGAAGGTGGCTCAGTGGTAGAGCACTTGCCTTGCATGCCTGAGGCCCTGAGTTCGATTCCTCAGCACCACATAAGCAAAAAGAAATGTACTCTTTACCTGACTTATGAGACTGTAACCCCTCTGTAGATCACCTTTATAATAACAAAAAAAAATTAAAAAAAAAAAAGAATGAGTCTAGTCTGGCAAAGGAAGCTGCAATAGCTACTGCTCTTCCCTGTCTTTATCTCTTTCTTTTGTTGTTGTTGTTGGTCATAAGGCTTGAACTCTGGGCCTGGGCGCTGTCTCTCAGCACTTCAACCACTTGAGCCACAGAACCACTTCCAGTTTTCTGGTGGCTTATTGGAGATAAGATTCTCACAGAGCCAGGCACCGGTGCCTCACGCCTGTAATCCTAGCTACTCAGGAGACTGAGATCTGAGGCTCGTGGTTCAAAGCCAGCCCAGGCAGGAAACTCTGTGAGACTCTTATCTCCAATAAACCACTAGAAAAACCAGAAGTGGCACTTTGGCTTAAGCAGTAGAGCACTCGCCTTGAGTTGAAGAGCGCAGGGACAGTGCCCAGGCCCAGAGTTCAAGCTCCATGACAAAAAAAAAAAAAGATTCTCACGGTCTCTCCTGCCCGGGCTGGCTTTGAACCGAGATCCTCAGATCTCAGCCTCCTGAGTAGCTAGGATTACAGGAGTGAGCCATCAGTGCTCAGCTATCTTTATTTCTTGAGAAGCCAAGAACTTTTTTCATTTACCACTCATCCTTGCCCACTCTTCTGAGCATAAAGTAGGAATCCTGTGGCCAGTCCCTAGAAGCTAACGCTCTCACTTGGTTTTAAATTATTCTTCTTCTCAATGCCTTTACCAAAAATTTAGAGGCTACTCCAAGTGAGGGACAGTGATATAGATAAATGGAAAAGAATTTTGTTAACATATTTAAAAAGTCTAAGTATGTATTTTCAAAGAGTGCTAGAAACTTTCTTCCCTTACCATGGACTTTATTTATTTATTTATTTTTTGTCGGCCGTGGGGCTTGAACGCTGGGCCTGGGCGCTGTCCCTCAGCTCTTCAGCTCAAGGCGAGCGCTCTACCACTTGAGCAACAGCGCCACTTCCGGTTTTCTGGTGGTTTATTGGAGATAGGAGTCTCACGGTTTCTCCTGCCTGGGCTGGCTTTGAACCACGATCCTCAGATCTCAGCCTCCTGAGTAGCTAGGATTACAGGCATGAGCGACCAGCGCCCGGCTTACCATGGACTTTATAAGAGGAGAAAAAGAAATGAGTGTGAGCATGTGTGTGTGAGAGATATTAAGGTTTGAAGTCAGGGCCTTGTGTGCTCTAACACTTGAGACACCTCTAGCCTAAGACATCAATATTTTCCTTTTTTTTTTTGTCAGTCATGGAACTTAAACTCTGGGCTTGGGCACTGTCTTTGAGCTCTTCAGCTCAAGGCAAGCACTCTACAACTTGAGCCACAGTGCCATTTCCAGTTTTCTGGTGGTTCACTGGCAATAAGTCTCATAGACTTTCCTGCCTGGGCTGGCTTTGAACCGCAATCCTCAGATCTCAGCCTCCTAAGAAGCTAGGATTTCAGGCAGGAGCCACGGGTGTCCAGCGACATCAATATTTTCAAGGTAGAGCCTTCATGAATTCAACAGAGTTAATTCAGACACCCACCTTGTTGACTCTTGACATAACAGCAAAAATGGCAGCATCAGTCATGACAGTCGTCTCAATACCTGCTTTGGACAAATTGACGGCCATTTCATGACCCTGCAATAGGAGGGAAAGGCTGATGCTGGGAGAGAGTGAGAGACAGTGAGAAGAGCTCTCCAATGCAGCTGGACCTGGGGCGTTCTGTGATCTAGGCACACCCAGCACATGATTTCCAACACATAACTCACTTTTCTGCCTGAGCTGGATATACTTTGTTGAGCTGCAAGGACGCTAGTAAAAGTATAATATATATATATTGCTCCAGAGCAGCCACAAAACTGGAAATACAGCTTATAGAATAAAGCATGGTTGACAAGATACTCCTGGCTCGTTATTTTACTACTTCCTGCATCCTCACCTACTTCTTTTTTGAGATCTATTATTTACTTAAGAATTGAGATCAGACCAACCACCAATCAATCCCAAGGTAATTTACCCTTATTTTGATTCCTGAAAGAATATTTCTCTATCCTTGGACCTAAGCAGTTCATTTTGATTCTCAAAATTAAAACCATGCTTAAAAACATTCATAGGATAAATAACCTGAAAATTCTCTCAATTTTCTACTTTGTTTTCAATGTCTCATTGACTTGTTTACCAATTCAGAGTTGTCATGGACACAACCCGTCACCCATCCTTTATTCCTCTTTCATTTTTCTTAGCAACTCCAGTAGTTTTGCTTACTTGGCAGAAAGGAGCACATTCTGCTACAATGACATGGAACTTCCTTTTCCGGGCAGCCTCCCTGAGGAAGGCCTCAACTGTTCTGGAGAAGCCAATGGTCATGATCACCTCATTGGAGTGGATGTGTTCTAGGGCCTGGGCTGCAATATTTTCCGTTGTGCCTTCTGCAAGAACCATTTTGTAAAGAAAATATAAAATACCAATATATCAGATAGGCCCAGAAGTTTAGAAAGGATGTCTTCCCTTTGTATACGCTGTCCATTTGGCAGATTTGGGGTTAACAGCTACAAAGCAAAACAACTCAATTTTAAACACCTACTCCCCTGGGATCCTCTACTTCAACTCTTTCAGTCAGTCCACATTTTTTTTCTCAAGTGCACCTCTGCTAGTCAGCCACTTCCCTGCCACCAAACCAGTGCCTTACATTTGCTTTAGAAGATAACCAGTTCAGGAAAGAAAAGAAGTCTGGTAAACCCTAAAGGCCTGACTGATGGGGTAAACACATCTTCTCCCAAAAGGTGGTCACAGCAACATCCATGAGAGTAAGAGGAAAGAGAAGAAAACTTGGGGAAGGAAATTGAAAGCAGGTTAGGACAGGTAGTACCTAGCTTCTTCATCTCCGAGGAGCTTTAATTATAAGGAAAGTCTGCAGGTCTCCTGGGTCACAAAGACAAGGAAGGTAGGTGTGTGTGTGTGTGTGTGTGTGTGTGTGTGTGTGTGCAGTTGTGAAGGATGGGTCTGTAGAAAAAAGTCCAGAGGGTTAGTCCCGCAGTCTCGCCCCCTCCCACTCCTATCAGGGTTGAGTCAAGACTATGGGTACCGACCCAGATGACAGGGAACCTCTGCCACGAACCAAACCTCTCGACTAAAACATTTTGTTTCATCTGCCTGGCCTGTGCTGGTCACAGAGTTGAGAACTCTTACCCAGCTCCACTAGCAGCTCATTAATCGCCTCAATGATGTTGGGCTGAAGTTGGGCATAGTGGAAACTGAAATCTTCGCTCAAACCTCCGGATGTCAAGAGTTTGTGCAGAGACTCCTGCTGATCGCTCTCATCGCTGCGCCCATGCAGTCTAGGGAAGTAAAAAGACCCACACAGGGAGGTGGGAAGAAGGTGCAGTCAGGTAGGCATCAGGGGGATGTGTAGCAACAAGAGGTTCCAAGCACTAAGAGGACACAGGTACAAGAGAGGGGTGGGGGGAGAGGGAGCGAGCGCGCGGGCGCGCCTGGATCCAGAATGGGAGGCTGACCTGCCATACTCCTCCCGGATGATCTTCAGCACTCTCCGCACCATATTGCCCACGGTGGTCTCGGACGGCTGTGCAGCCGTCATCCTCCGGCCTTCCCTGCGGATCAGCGCCATCAGCTCCCCTGCACC